AGTACTCCATTTTATTAATAGAGAATACATAGACCTAGTTTCACCCAAGGCCTGCCTGGACGAAAATTCACACTCTCTGAAATAAAAGCATTTCTTTTGTTTTTTTAACTATTTGAAACTGAGAGTTTCCAAGCTCTCAGCACCAGCTGAGCTCACAGAAACCAGAACATACATCAATTTAGAAAACAGCACCCTGCAAAACTAAACACTTACAAACATTCTCTGAATTATAGGGCAGGATAAGAAGACTCATGCCCTCCTCTTCTCCTTTGTGCAGCTGGTTAAATATATACAAAGCTAAACTTGAAATGGAAGCACTCTGTCATACAAACACTTTAGCCAGGGCATCTGCTCCTGCACTGGCAATATAACATTTGGAGGGGTGGAATGCCACATCATGAATGGACTCATCAAATTTTTTGCGATGAGCAGTAAATTCTTGGATGCAGGTCTTGCTTTCAAGATTCCACAAGCGAATTGAACAGTCATGACCTAAAGAAAGGAGAAACAGTTTTCTTTGTAATTCTCACGTCTGCCACTGTTATGAGAAAAAGAAAAAGAAATCTGAATGTACTTACTGCCAGACATCAAATACAAGCCATTAGGATCAACAGCTAAACTTGTAACTGCATCCAAGTGAGCTACCATGGAGTGGATCAGTTTTCCTTTGAAAGAAAAGATTTATTTAGGTTATTTTCAGCAATTCACTTTGTTATCTGTATTCACTGCTTAAACCCTACCACAGCTTACATTATAAATACAAGATCTTGTCCCACAATAAAATCATTAAAATAATGCAAGATGTCATTCTTGTAAATATTTACAGTCTTGGGAGAATCACAGTACCAATATCACCAACTTTGTTAGACCTTTGGTTTATGTCTGCAAAATCACCATGAAACTCCAATTACTGTGCACTTTAAATATCTGCCCCTTAAGTGAATTAAGTTCAGGAGTAACATCTTGACTGGGAAGGAGGAGAGGGGCTGAGTATACTAATAAGCAATGAATATAAACCATGTAAGAACACGGGATAATTTTAGTCAACTCAGAGAGAATTAATGTTCTATTACAGCTTATTATATTTACAATAATTATTTCATATTAAAAGTAAGAAATCATGTGTCAAATATGAGGGTTTTGTTGTGAAAGATAATAAAATAGATTAAAAAAAACCAGCTGCTGTTTCCTTTACTGTGTATTAGAGAACTACATCAAACAAAACAGCTATTCTCAGCTTCTATAGGGTCCTTTCACCTCTTGTTATTTAACATACATCTGGGGAGTAGCAAACTTAAAATCAACATGAATATTGAAAGCTCTCATTGTAACTTTTAAGACAGTGTGACCTGGAAGCAGAGAAGTCACAATCTGAAGATTAAAGATTCACAGTCAGAATACCAGGTTAATACCACCATTTCTATCAAAAAATCCTTTAAAACCCAAGAGATTTATAAAACATCTCAGTGCAATTCTCACTACAAATTAGAATAAGTATTACCAGCTGTTTCTATAGAAGTGAGACATTTGGAGAAATAGGGTGGATCAAATTGAGACCAATGACTACAGGGGAACTTCTACCTCCAAGCAATCAGGCAGGTCTTGGAAGTACTAAAGGAGTGCCAGAGCTTCCTACCCTCAGATCAAAATATCACAGACATCACAAAAGAAGAAACATGAACATAAGCACATAAAGATTTTGAAAAAGCCTACTTTTATGTTAAATATTGATAACTGCCATACATAAGGCATTTTAAAAGAATGGACAAAGAATGATGGAGGTTCCTTATTACTGTCCTGGCTTCAGCTGGGGTAGAGCTAATTTTTTTCTTAGTAGCTGGAATAGTGCTATGCTTTTGGAATTAGTATGAGAACAATACTGATACTACACTGATGTTTTTGGTTATTGCTAAGCAGTCAAGGACTTTGAGCTTCACATGCTCTACCAGATGAACAAGAAGATGAGAGGGAGCATAGCCAGGACAGCTCACCCAAGCTGACCAAAGGGATATTTTATACCATATAATGTCATGCTCAGTACATAAACAGGGGAAGTTGGCTTGGGGGACAGCACAACTGCTGCTCGGGAATGGGCTGGGCATCAGTCAGTGAGCGGCGAGCAATTGTATTGTACATCGCTTGTTTTGTATATTCTTTAATTATCATTGTTGTTACTATTATCATTATTATTATTATTACTACTACTATTATTTTTTTTTCTGCCCTATTAAACTGGCTTTATCTCAACCTATGCATTTTGTTTTCCGATTCTCCTCCCATCCCATTGGGGCAGGGGAGAGCGAGCAAGCGGCTGCATGGTGCTTCGTTTTGGTTGGAGTTAAATGGCACACTGTGCCAAAAAAGTTTTAAGTGGGCTGTCAATCTTTGGGCTCTACTGGTGACAAGAGATTTCTGTTTCAGAGGATATCCAATTCTTGACATCCCTCAGCATTTACGTGAATAATATTAATCATAATGAAATTCTGTTTATGTTTTATGTTATACAAACACTACGACCAGGATCTGTTGAAAAGATGCATACCTGTATTGTTGTCATAGAATTTGATGTGTCTGTCTTCATGAGCAGTGATACTAATTGGAAGAGTTGGATGGCTGATGACTCTGTTTATCTGACAGGAGGAACCGACTGCTAAGAAAAAAAAACCACATGTATCAATACACGTAAATTGCTAAGTTCTTTGAAAGACTGATTACATATTTATTTCTTAGTAGCAATCTTATTTGCAAAATAATTCTTACCTTTACATAATGGACACTCTCAGCTAACACCTTATGTATCATAGTTTATTTTAAAATAGTTTCCAAATCACACACTCATAGAGGCATACATAAACCCTATGTATGAGTGTAAATACAAACATATAAGGTCCAACTTTTGGCCATGGTTTTAGATGGGCACTTCAGGCAAGAACGTGAAGCCAAAAACTGAGAGAAAATACCTTTTTTGCACTTCCCCACTTCCACATTCTTCCTCTTGTCAAGCCAAATTTTCTTCGTAACATACAGACTGCACAGGTAGTATGTTTCCAAGCAAACAAGATCCCATGCCCTCACCTTCACAGAGCAAAACCCACCTACTACTATTTGATATGCATGCATTGAAATCCTTATTGAAGAAAAGGATGCTAGACTATTCATAGGAGAGCCATTTTTCCAGCCTTCAAGAATCCTGAAATATCATATATATATATATACACACACACACAAAGCACAGGAGTTTTTTCATTAGAAATCTAGGCATTTGGCAATCTTGCACAGACTAGTGGAAGAGTGGTCTTAAGAGGCATAGATTACCACAAACACATAAATATCCACTCCACAGAATATCAAAATACAGTTATCTTCTTTCATGTGGGAGTTGACTGTATTTAGCTAAACTGCTGCCGAAGAACACTCATCTAATCAAAATTCTTACTAAAATAAACAAAATAGAATACTACTATAGGATTACTTGCTACTAAGGTGGTATCTTTCTATAAAAATCTGAACCTTCAAGTAGTGTCAGCATCCATAGGACATTTAAAAAATTATGGAAGTGTAAATTAAGGAAAAGATACATTCATATTAATAAACCCCCCTAAAATTACTAAAAGCACATAAGACTGCATCACAGCTAGCTATCTTCATAGTTTCAAAATGCCAAGCAGAGTGAGGCTTATATTGAACATAGGAGTCCCTAAGTGGTGGTGGTAGGGCATTTCAGGTGACTCATTTTCCTCTTGCCTACTTCTTGCAGAAATAATTATATTTTTTTAAATACATGTAAGCTTTGTAGTACTGTTACATAATTAAAAATACTAAACAGGGACTGTTGGCTGTCATACCGTGGCCTCTTTTTCTTAAAGGAGTATTACTGGATTACAGTAAGGAGGAGGAGGTGAAAAAAATAAAAAGGAAAAAAAAAAGAAGAAAGGTAACTTCCACTGAACAGAGATAACTGATTTAGGATTGCTTTTTTCAAACAGGAACAAAGATGTATGTTAAAAAAAGAAATCCTGCACAGTAAGGAATAATATAAAGAAGGGAGATGGCACTTTCCATTCCCTCTTATAAAAATGACAGTCATTTAACTACTTTAAAATGGACAAGCAAAGCCAACAAAAAGGACTTACTCCCTTTTAAAAATATAATTTGATAGTAGAATTCAGTGACAAAACTTTTAGGGGGAAAAAAAATTATCAAAATTTTTAAAATACTGAATGTTTATACTGTTATCAGGTTACTGTTTTGGCCTGGATATGAAACCTCATGCTTCAGCTCATTCTGGTCTCTTTCCCAGTGCCAGAGTAAAATAATTTACTGATAGCAGGCTCCTTACAGTTTCCTCTAAAATTTCCGATATCGGCCACTGCCATGATCCAAAGCATTACATACGACCTTGGGAATACTCTTTCACTGGAGAACTGCTTTTCTTCTACGGTGAAACTTCAACTAAAACCCAACTGCAAATGAGCCAAGAGTGTATATACAACTTAGAAAACTAATATCTCTGAGGAAAGATTAAAAAAAAGGAATCTATATACACACACTCCTAAATTTTTCATAAATTCAACTTTAGATTTTCCTGATATTACCTCTATCTTGCAATTTTGGACTGAAAAGAGAATGAAAATCTTGAAGCTGCATAGATCACAGGGGTGTATTAAAGAAACCTGCGCTTTTACTTGTGCCACTGTTCCTTGAACAGAAATTCAGATATGGAGGGCTTGTTTCTTCTACCTTCTCTCAAAAGAATGTGCACTCTTCTGCTACTGAAATACCCACAAGGTCTGCTGTAGTAGTAATAATTTACTGTTACATCTCAAAACACAGCTTGTAACATAATTCATGTTATAATTTCTTATGACACTGCCTAATTGTTTGCAAACACTGAAAAGACTATCAAAATTATAGATTTTAAACAAACAATTTTTTTTTTTTTTTGAGATACATACTAGTATCCACATTGGACTCCAGGGTAAGAATTCGTTGCCGTGTCTCCATGTTAAAAATGCAACTGTGTCCACTGCTAAATGATGCTACCATGAGGCTTGGGTCACTGCTCACAAGATCTACTGATGAAGGAATTCCCATTTCTAGAAGGCAATGTAGAGAACATTTTCATAAAATTTAGTTGGTATAAAGAAAATCAAAAAATAAACAAAAAAGTTCAACCAGTATGCACTTTATTATGAAAGGGGCCATGATTATGAAAGGCAATGTTACATTTTAAAATCTACATTACGCCAATCTAAATAGATTGCCCTGTATTATCAATATTTTAATTCTATTCTTCTGATATGCCTATCAACAACATTCTTTACTAAGATGCTGTACCTGGAACTGTGGCTGGGCAGAAACCTACTTTGAAATTAAGAAAGTAAAAACTCCCTGTCCCCTTTTGCTGCCTTAAACCGTAAAAGCAATTCTCAAACAAACTTCCACTGCATCAAAAGTAAAAGGAAATTAAATCGATGTGGTAAAATAATTTACATGACAGATGACTAATGTTATTATTAACCCGGGCAAATTCAGAGCTTAAAAAAAAAACAATACCAAAGCTTTCCAGGTGCAAATCTTTATACACTGACACTGTCAGCATGGAAAGTTACATAAATACATTATAAACTCATATTACAAAGCTTCATCCATCCTGCCTGTTATGGTACATATCTAATCTCCTTTCACTGTTAGGTATCTGAATACTACAGGACAGAAGGCCAAATCAGCAGAGCTTAGGTAGAGAAAACATCCCTTAGAATTTTTTTCCTGGAATGTCCTGTTCACCACCCACTATGTGAAAGAACAACACCGGTTGCAACAGATATCAGCAGGAGGAGGAAGAGGTAGAGAGTGAGACACTGAATCAACCTAATGTCCATGGATCCATTAGCAACCTAATGTCCATGGATCCAGATAATGCAGGAATATCATCACTTCTCTCTAAACCTAAGATTCATAGGAGAAACGTCTTCCTTGGACACAGCACCTCAGGAATGCTCATCAGGAATTGTGGTACTTATCTACAGGTACTCCAAAAAAGCCGAAAAGGATTGGTGTGAGAAGAAAACACGTATTGTTTCTGAAGTGTCCTTTTCTACCACTGCCATGCCTGCTTATCTGCAGCTTCCTGGTAAGCCTACAATGGTTAATCTAAAGGATTTAAATGATGAATGCTTGATACTTTAGAGAGTTTGTTCAAGGTTCTCAACAAGCCATAGGAAAACTCAGTTTCAAAAGAGGATCTTTAAATTTTCTAACTGGGTTTCACTCCAGTTTGGAATATAAAAAACCCAAAAATTACCTCTGTGAGGCAAGACTACTCCTTCCCCCTTGATTTAATAATTAAAAAAACCCCAAACACTCACATCAAAAAAACAAATGAAAAAACACTACCAGGAAGTTTTCAAAAGTAGACAGGTAGGCAAGCTAGCAGCAAACCAGTTATGTCTTTCACAGAAACCTGAGGACCTTTGGAAACATAGTTCTGCAAGAACTAAAATACATGCAACATTTCTATTTTGCTCAGTCTATTTTAACTAATAAGTAATGGCAGATCTGACCTGCTTTACATTGTAATTCGGTAAGTCTATTCAGTTATGCCAAAGTTTATTTTGCCTCAAAGTTGTTCTGAAGAGTCAAGGAATCTTCTCAGTTTGGGGGTTGCCTTTAGGACCATCAGCTCTACAGAGTTTGGCAATGTCAACAGGCTCATTCTAGAGCACTTACTTGGACAGCAACTTCAAGAAATTAGGCTCTCAACATAGGATTTTGATTTGCGCATGACATTCTAGTCAATAAATCCAGGGGAGTATATTTTTTCAACTAGTAGTGTTTAGGATGACTAGGTTATTGCTATTTAGTTAATGCACAAACTCAGAAATTCAATGGGAATCTCTGTGACAGAGGCACAAGGAACATACATCCTAGAAGGTACAATGACACTGGCCTGAGACAAAGTACTGACTACTCCAAACCTCTGTTGGGGGAAGAAAGGTTTTTTTATTCTGGACAAACCAAAAGCAAGGGTTTAATGGAAACTCAGTTTGAATCTGAACTACGGGGTTGATACATTATACTCCATGGTTCTAGTAACATCAGCAGATCATCTACAGCAGTTGGCTTTTAGATTTATGTGACTGTCCCCCTGTGTGTAGGTATCTATTCAACTGGTGCCAAAGGAGAAGGGACCCAAAATTTACTCTTCCAAAAAACATTCATAAAGATATAAAGCCCAGCAAAACAAACAAGAAGGATTTCTATTCAGGAGCCAAAATTATGGCAGTCTGACCAGAGATGCTCACAAATTTTAAGTAGGGCAATTTTCTGTACCTTGATTATCATTAAATATATTGAGAGCTGGAGCAATTTCTGTAGCTTTCCATAGACGTATAGTGCCGTCTGCTGAACAGGACAGCAAACGCTGGTGTGCTCCACTGTAAACCAGACCCCACACTGCATCTGTATGGCCTACAAAAGCACCTCTTAGAACAGAAGGATCTGTGAACAAAATACAACAAACCACATTTCAAAACAAAACTTGAATTAAGTCAAACACAGACCAAGATACCATTATTATGAACCAACCTTAAGAAGCTAGTCCATCAAAAAACCCAAACAAGACCAACCAGGTCATATCAATATGGTAGTCTCAAGTATTCTCGTATGAAGACGCTTGATTTCATCAGTATACGTGACATTCAGTTTACAACTACTGAAACAAAACAATGTTTCAGCAGAAGAGACTGTATCAAAGTTGGCAAGACACACTTTGATTTTAAATTTCACCTCTCAAACAATAATTAATGGCATATCCGTCCCTTTTTTCCAAAAGCCAGCTTTGAGGTCAACCATACCTGAAGCTACGAGAAGTGAAAAATGTTTTAATGCACAGACACAAGGCTGACATCCATTCAGATCTGGTAAATCTTACCAAACGGGGCCTTTTTAGCTGTTTGCAGATGACATTAACAGCTTTGGTCTCAGACTATACAACCTCTTTTTCATCTCAATTGCACAGAGATTTGTCAAAGAATATAACATTAAAACACACATTTGCTGTACTTGTCAAGTATCAGGTTTAGTCCTATACTTTTTCAACCTAGCTGTTTTGGAAAACTGTGATGAGATCAAGGCCTTTTTTAAGAAAATGATTAATTTTATCTTCTCATCAATCAGCATCAGTATTAAACCAAAAATTTACTAAAATAATCGAAGCCAACATTCAATATTCTCTTTTCAATTTTCAAAGACGTGTTACATACAAATCATACTATTTTAGCCACATATCACTAATATCACTATATCATTTCACTAGTGTGTGTGTCAGCAACGTACCATAAGAATCATAGGGATCGATGTTTGGGTTGATTGTATTCCAGCCATGGATGAGGCCATCTGTTCCCCCACTGTAACACTGTTCACCATTACTGCTCATCACCACACAGAGCACTGGTCCACTAGAAGAATCAACCCCCCCACAAGAAATGTTGACTATTCATATTTTCATTATGGGAAAAACAATGTCAATGGAATCTTCAAATTTCCCTGTTAGATAAAATTCACTTGCTGCACAGACTGCAACAAAAATTCTGCACAGTCAGGTCATATGCTACAACACTTCCCACAAAAAACCGCCACAATATTTGATAACCTAACTACAATCAGGACAATTTAATCTTTATGCATATCAAATATGAAAAGTGTCACATCTAAAACTATAGGCTTGGTTATTTTGCATGAACAGCTTTTTTTCCTTTTTTAAAGATCTAAGGCTCTTTCATGAAATCAACTCAGTAGATTTAAATTCACCACAAACAGCCTGTGTCTACAGATGCACATATCTGACAAAAAGACAAGAGGTGCAATGATGAACAGAAACCTAATCGAATTTGAACTGTACGATTTGTAGGTTTCCCTTTTTAAAACTGGTGTACCTAGCTTCAGACATAAGTAATTATGCAGAAAGGGGATAAACATACGCAGATATTTAAAATAAGACGGGAACTAAAAGCATCCCAGGCAATCACTAGTTAACAAGGTAGAAATTGTTTTTTAAAAAAATTCTGTGTCTGTTTAAAAATCATGTATTTCTCAAAATATGACAATGTTTCTCAGGTAATACTCACTTATGTGCTCTGAAGGTATATATTGGCTCTACATCAAGAGAAGCACTCCTATATGAAGTACAAGAAAATGTTAACATGTATATGATCTTAGAAAATGCTTTACAAAAATGTGCTAGAATTACTAAATTCTTTATATCACTGCTATGTCTTTTGAAGTGTTTCTCCCACAACTTTCTCTCCCAACATGACACTTCCATATGTCTAGGAATTATTTGCATTCTTGCAAAATATGAAAGGATTTGTTGGTTTGGTTCTTTGTTTAAAAGACTTTCAAAGTAGAGAGTTCACATGCTTTGCCCAGTCGTCCTAAAAGGCATGATTGTACTAATGTACTCCCTTACTATATCAGCCCCACTAAGAATTTGCTCTCATTTCTGCAAATCCTCGGCAAGAAGCAAGTGACAGTGTACAAAGGAACCTGGTAACATCTCAGTCAAAGTCTAAAGCTGTATACATGTATATGCATACATGTGTATACATATATATGCATATATATATATAAATGCATATTCACACATTTATACACACATGCAAGGACACCAACAGACCACATCCAAATATTTTCACTAGTAAATCAATTTGCCATGTTGTCTACAAGGAAACCAAAAAAAGTGAATGGTTTTCATTTTCACAAAAAAAAAATACATTCATGAACACACATGGATTTCTTCTGGCACTCTTTAAAAGCCCCCATCCTTCTCTAAGAGTTTGTTTTCTGACTCTTAAATTCAAGGAACAATTTCCATTACTCTGAGGACCATCCAGTGAAATGGCATCTACAATTACTTTTTTCTCTTCATAAATGAAAACAGTTTTTGAAAGAAAGAAAAAATCTTACTTTTTTGCTGGGGCTGTTTTTTGTAAATTCCACATTTTTAATGTATGGTCCTCTGAAGCAGTTATTAAGACTGGTTCAACCGGATGAAAAGCGAGACCTCTTATTCCATCAAAGTGACTTCGTAATGTGAATTTAGGGTTCCAAGTCTTTCTCAATGCATCCTTATTGTTTGCTATCTAATAAAACAAAATGCCAAACTTGTAATTAATCTGGAAGGCACAAGGAAAGGAAGAAATCAGAAATTTAGAGTTTGGCATTTTCAGAAGGTATCAAATTACCTCACCCACTTTTCATAACAATCTGCTCTTGAGCAACAGTCCATTTAACACCGATCAGACAATTCAAAATGAGAACGAAGGTAGATGTATTCCACAAAGGCAAGGAGTAACATCACGTCCACAGTAATATATTCCGTGCAAATCTGAAATACTCCACGTCTGTTATGTTGCGAAATTTAAAAGCTGAAAAGCACCTTTCTGACTGATACTGCTGCGAACTCAGTTTGGTATCTGAAATTTGATATATACCTACTGGCTTAGTCATTAACACTGGCCCCGACTCAACCAAGCTGTGGTGCCTGAATAGCCGAAGTACCGCTGACACTGCATCTCTAAAGTAAAGAGAAACAAGGAAGTGTCCAGCAGCACAGAAAGGAACACAATCTAACTTATTCACCTAAGGCAACACAAGCTCTGTAGTAATGCAAGACAAGTAAAGCTTGCCAGAGAGAAGAAAAAAAAAAAAGGCAAAAAGGACTTGGCTATACACTAAGAATACAACTGGCAAGCAATAAACTATCATGTATACAGACACAATTATTTCACAATAAATGCATCTGTAGCAGATCCAAAAAGAAAGCCCTTAAAAAAAAATCAACAAAAACAGTTACTTCAACATTGCTCCTCTGAACAAATGTTGATGTAAAATGCTGAACAGACTTTTATCACTCTGTCAGTCAACACTATCATTGTTAAATTTACCTTCCCATAACCACTGCTGATGGTGGTTATAGAAAACCAGGAAAACAAACAATGGTAACTCAAATATTGATGATTTCATTATGTTGAAAGCTACAGATCATCCCAAATAATTTGGTATCATTAACTGCAAAGAAAAGACAATTGTTTTGAGCCACTTCAAGAATCTACATTTTATTCTGGAAGGGGGGTGGGGGGTGGGAAAGTTTAAGAATAAGAGCATTGTTTTAAGAAAAAAGCATTTTTTCAGTTTTGGTACTTTTGGATTTAATAATAAAATATTATTAAAAATATTTTTAGTAATAAAAATATGCTTCAATTAAGAGGTTCTATAGATTTTAAATGATGAGAAAGGAGTTGTAACAAGCAGCAGCTTTAGTTCCACCATATTTCTTCGTAATCATGTACTGTCTTGCTCAGGGAGACAAGCCTGTTTGCCAGTTTACTGAGCTGAGTTGACTCAAGGAGCCAACAGACAAATGCTCAAGCTGGTGCAAGGATGGGGCAGGACTGCAAAGCTAGCAGCTTGGGCAAGCTTTCTGGAGGTTGGCCAAGAAAGTCTCAGCAAAAAGGGTACCAGATGTACAGAGTATTCACAGATACATGGAGAGGAATTTGGTTGCCTCAGTGGAGGTATCTAATGCCAACTCAGTGATGGAGAGAGCCCCACTCGCCCTCCAGCTGCCATACCAACAGCACAGGTCCTGTGTCACATTTGCAAAAGCCACAAAGACACCTCAGATGTGCTAACAGCGCACGCCAGTTCTGGCAGAATAATATTCTCCACTTGCTTCTCATTCAAAGATGTTCTTCCAAAGGAGTCCAAGATAATTATCTTCTAAATCAGGAAGTAGGTGGAGGGCAGCCGCAGCCAGCAGACCAGCAGCAGAGGTGAAAACAGATGGCAGCCCTGGCGCACTGCCTGCGCCACCATCACTCCTCTTCGCCCATCGGTCTCTCAAGGGCTGCGAGAGGCTGGGTTACTAACGTGGCAGTCAGCCTCCAGTTCCCTCTCCTCACTAAAATACAACAGTCAGGTAATCTGCGACTTGAAAAGCAGTTGCCGGGGGAGGGGGGATGTTCCCAAAATTAGCACCTGATTCCACTTTTGCCACTAACAGTAATATTTGTATCTATACAGACAACCTGAAAACTCCAGAAACAGCAACAATATGCAAGTAGGATTATGGACACTTTTCTTGTTCAAAGTTGCAGAAAATCAAGCACCACCCTACTGCAAAGTCCAAAATCTCCAAGTCAGTACACGATATTAAACACAATAATTTTGTGGTTCAGATACTCTAATGTACAGTAATCAGTCTATTACAATTTTATGAAGATTCTTAATCTACCCAGAAGACTAGGGAAAAAAACAGAACCAACCAAAGTGAACATTTATGAAGTCAACAACGTTTTTCCTTCCTGGAAAAAGAAAAGATAAACTAAAAAAAGATAAACTATAAAACATACAGAAAAGAGAGCATTGGCTAGCAACCTGGAAGATTTCATCGTTAGATATTCTAGAAACTTATCCACAAGCAGAAAATTTGTTGTTTACGTAATAAGTTCATAATCTCCATTACCAAGTGAAAACCATTCTTTAATTTACAGACAGCCAAAGCAACACATAAAAAACTTAAACCATGAAATGAGATAGGCTAATGCTGCCATGTTTTAGAGGAAAAGAATCCAGTAAAAATGTCAGTGGGAAGACAGGGACTGAAAATAGGAAAGTGTCTGCAACTCTTCATAGATTCATAGATTCATAGATTTCTAGGTTGGAAAAGACCTTAGAGATCATCGAGTCCAACCATCCCTAATCCCCATTAAACCATATCCTCAAGCAGATCATCCACCCTATTCTTAAACACATCCAGGGATGGGGACTCAACCACCTCCCTGGGCAGCCTATTCCAGTGGCTGACAACCCTTTCAGAGAAGAAATACTTCCTAACATCCAACCTGAATCTCCCCTGACTAAGCTTATGTCCATTTCCTCTTGTTCTATCACCCATCACTAATCTTGAGAGCAAATACATTGAAGACCAATTCACACAAATCCATCACCTTCATTCTCCATATAATTTAAAATTGACACTTAAAAAATCCTATCTGATTCATATTTGGCAGCTGGAAGAAGGTATGAAGCAGTCCAAAATCAAAACAGATTGTATTTGTAAGCTAAACTTCCAGAGAAATTTGAAATGAAGAAACTAGCCTTTCATTTTGCTTCAATAAAGAGCACAGTGACAAGAGCAAGAAGCTTTGTAAATTTTTTTTTTTTAAATTGTCAGCACTAGAAAAAGGCAAGAGTTGAGGTAAGCATGAATATGAATTCCTGATCACAGGACTTCATAAAGGCATTTAACACGTGAATAAACAGAAGTTAATATTCTCAACCATGCAGAACAGGATAGGAATGGATAAAGAAATGCTAGATTCCATAAATGAAAGTTGTCAGTTTAGGATATGGAGACATGGACAAATGCAATAGTTTATATGGACATTTGAATGATGAAGTCAAGCACTAGAAGCATTAAGATCTCATACAGATCTTTGTCCTCTGAATTTAAAAATTCAACATCTAAAGTTTAGGCGTAACCGTAAAAGAAATGAAATTTGTACACCATCTTACCCCTTTTTGGGGACAAAGTTAGGGATGATTAGCAAAAAAATTTAACAGCTGAGCCTAAATTAGGACATAATGCTAAAATATTGAATTTTAGCAGAGATGTTCTATATCATTGCAATCCTGATGGTTCACAACACATCACATGCTCAGAAACTTGCTATAGTAGTAGAGCATAAGTCTGCAGTGTCATTCAAAAACGTGTGTAAAATTTCATTAACTTCGTAACTTATTGCATTGTAAGTACTTACAAGGATATAACTTCAAAGCAAGGAGCTGCAGGTTGTTTCTGGAGTCTCAGATTTGATTTGTGATAGCAAAATCCCAGATGGTGATTACTTAAGAGTCAGATTTACTGCAGGATAGGATTCCTCCCCAACACATAATACGAAAAGAACCGCCTCTGAAATCCCTCAAACTTGACAGAGCTGGGCAACGCAATAGCAAGATTAATCTGAAGTTGACAGACTTCATGGTTTAACCTCAGCTGGCAACTAAACACCATGCCACCACTCACTCACCCTCTCCCATCCCCAGGGTAATGGGGGAGAGAATTGAAAGGGTAAAGGACTTGTGGGTTGAGATAAGAAGAATTTAATAACTGAAATAAAATAAAACTAATAATGATAAAAATAATAGTAATAATAATAATAATAGAACATACAAACAAGTGATGTATAGCAAAATTGCTCACTATCCACTGACCAACGTCCAGCCCATCCCCGGCTAGCGATCCTGAAGAATCAAAATCCTGAAACCACAATCTCGGGGTGGATGGGGAGGGAGAGAGAGAGCGAGCACATGCGCCCCGGCTTCCTGGCCAACCCTCAGTCTGGTCCAGCTTCCCATTTGAAATGAAACTATTGCCCACACAATACAAATAAGCCACAGCTCTCCCCCAGTCAAGTTTTGAACATCTCCTAGGAGAAGGATTCCAGTTTCTCTGGGCAACTTGCTTCAGTACCACCTCCTCCCTAACACTTTTTCTCCTAATATCCAATCTGAATCTCCTGAGCCATAATTTGTTACCGTTTCCTCTTGTTTTAACACTTGGCACTATGGAGAAGCCTGGTTCTGTTATCTTTGCAAGCACCCTTCCAAAACCTGTAGATTGCTATTTGAGCACCCTTTAGCCTCCTAAAAACTGAAGAAGTCTTGCTCCCTTAACATCTCCTCATCGGTCACATGCTACTGGACTCTCTCTAATTTCTCTACAACCCACTTGAAGTGGAGGGGCTCAAAACTGCATACAGGTATAGCCTCATTAGCCCCACACAGAGAGAACACTAACTCCCCTCAATTTACTGGCCATGCTACTCCTAATTTTGCCCAGTGTCACTGGGATTACAAGTACTCAGCTATATCACTATCACTAATTACATTTACATTCAATTTTTAATTATTTGAATGACATGGCAGGCAAATGAGAGAAGGAGAGGGGCTTACAGAGAGCTGGAAGGCTGCTGTGTATGGGAAGAACAGATATGTCAAATAAAACTTTGTGACATTCTCTGACAGCATAATTTTAACAGGAAAATATTTTCTGCTGGGTCTACACACTTACAACTTAAATCTGCCTTCGACAAGTAGACAGTAGGACCTTAAGTCACCATTAATAACTACTTACATCATAAGTCAATGAATCTGCCTCATTGGCTACTGTAAGGCCTGCCAGTTCTCCAAGACCCAGCTCATTTTCAAGGGCTTCATCTGTTCCCATAATGAAAGACTTCCCTGAAGAAGGAGGGAATGTTAAAGCTTCCACTGCAAGAAAACAAATAAAAAAACTTCCTGAAACGTAGGCTTATACAACATTGAATAACAAAAGCATATTTTCCACTTCCAAAATACTAAACATCTCTCAAGTAGCTGAAGGCAAAAAGATACAAAAAAAAAAAAGCATAAAAAAATAGTCATTCTAAAGTCAATCACTGTACTTACCAATAAACAGCATCCTTTGAATATAATACTTACACTTGAGGTGTGCACAACTCAAGACAGTAAGTGTAATTAGCCACAGGAGGGAAGAATACACTACCATTCACCCATATATAACACAAAAGCAACGCAGAAAGGTTCAGGCCCTTCCCCAACTCTGCTATAAAATACACAAGTAGGCTCTGGAGAAGTTGCAAAAATGTAGAGAAGACAGCTGGTGGGAGCAGCTGGACCCTTCCTTCCTAACACCATATCCGCTCATATCCAAAAGCTGTTTACATGCACTTCAATCTAGCGACACAACTGGAAGCTGACAATTCATCGCTACCTGTAAAATGAGTTTAACTACCGAACAGCTTAGTCAGCACTGAATTCCAGGATTTTACTAGCAGTATCCAAATAGTTTACAGCTAGTTTACAGCTGCCATAGCATGCTTATAGATGCTCCAGCCACCGTAACGTAAACACATCCATAGACAGATTCACTACAACTCAGAGGATCAAAGGCTAAGAGTACAGTTCACACACTTATACTACATGAGGCTCTGCATCGATTGATACGACTCAAAAGAAGCTGTACCTCTACCAGCTTCCCTGTACAATAGCTCTCCAAGTCTGTACGTTACAAAAGGGGGGACTGAAGAGATGAAACCGTGTTATCTTTTGGACACAGAAGACTTCATTCAATTTTATACACCTTTTGTCTCAAATTACAAGGGTTTTTCAGTAAATCGCAATTTTTTTCCTCTTTTAGGCTCCATTGTAAATACAAGCCTTGGCAAATATTATTGCTACCAGAGAGAGAAAAAAGGAAAAGCTATCTCTTTCTCAGCATCTTCGTCTAACAGCACCAACACTAAGTTAAAACCAAGCAAACGAGGGTTTATAATGACTAGCCTGATCTGTTCAGACTGCTTCCCTCTTGTCCTGAAGGCGTCAGGTTCAGACGCTATTCAATTCCCCTCCAGTCCACCCAGCATAAAGCGAGCTAATCTTTTCATGGTCTTTCTGTCCCACGCTTACACCTCTATTGAGTGTCCTGTTTGCTTTCTATAATTTTTTTTGCAGCCAAATAAAAGCCCTTCAGGCTCTGCCATTTGATTAGGTCTTTTAGTTATTACCTTTTAATCACAAATATCTCTTACCTTCTTCATCCTGAAGTCTAAACTACCATTCTCTATCCCTCTAACTCACAATGTAATATTCCACTCAATGTGCAATACATACAGGACATCAAATTTGAAAAGTTATTAGAATAAAAAAAATTATATGCCAAAAATATCAGTTTTACAAAGGAATACACAGCTAATAGTTTGCAACATTGAACTCAGACTGATGACAATCAGCTGTTCTCTTCTGTTTTTGTGAGAGTCCATCTGAGTCTCTGAATTAAAAACCATATTTGTGAAAGGACACGAAAATAGAGCTCTGCTAATATGGCTCTCAGTACATGTGAGAAAAGTTGGAATGGAAACACTCAACAAAAAATTCCTTCACTTCTCAAAGTGTTGCTAAGTTACCCCCTTCTTTCATAAAGAAAATCCCTGAGCATGTAGGAAATCGAACTACTGAGATCTTTGGTAACTATGCCACACGCCGGAGCTTTTTATGCATCTTAATTAAAACTTGGCCGACCTACTTTTTCACACTCACTTAAAGACTACTAAGTGAAACCCATGTTTTGCTCATTTTTCAAAAGACATATTTACCGTTTAAATAAAGAGCATACGATATGATCTTCTACAAATTAATACCGCCTCATATATTTATTTTATTATTCTGCATATTATAGCAATTCAAATGTTTAATTCAACAGATGATTCAACAACTTTCAGAGATAATATTAATGAAGGTAACCACATGCCTCACAGCAAAGATGTGGGGCTTTCCATACTTGGACTAGTCGCTACGATAATTTTTTTTATTTTTTGGAACATATTATGGAAATGAACATACTGGCAAGCTGTTAAGTTGCTCTGTATGATTCACTACCCAATCACTACATGCATTTAAAAGCTATACCTAGCTGCTTGTGTTTACCTGCAGAGCCTTTATCTTTGCATTTAGAAAAAAGAAAATATACATATATATACATATACACACACACATATCTCCATAAGTTTAAAATCATGTTCATAGGGAGAAAAAAAGATGCTCTTACATCCTGAGAGTTCATGTTCTACAACTTGACTGCCAGGCCTGAGCACGAACAAAAGCAAGTGACTTAAGATCCTCATGTTACAAAGACACCAAGTGTCAAATGAGTTTTTTCCAGTGCGTTCAAAAGTATTCAGCCAAGACTTTACCTAGGTAGGTGTCCTGACCTTATTAATAGTGACCAGAGGGGAGGAACGGGAATGCCATTCGCTGTACTTAGAGAGAACTCATAATGTTGAATCAGTATTTGTAAAGTGCTCAGAAAGTCTTATAGAATAATCTTTAAGCAGAAGTGACTATAAATATCTACCCTTTACAAAGGTGTATGCACATTTTTAATACTTACCTTCATCCGTCCTGTTTATCTCATGTTCAATGAGCCTTGAGCTACTGGGCCTAGAAGAAGGTGCAACAGATGGCTGTAATGAAGGGAGATCATCAACATCTCTCAAGTTTGCAAGCATATCTTGCAGCTTTGACCTGTTGGGCCCTAACCAGAAAAAAACACAAAAAATTAAATGGCTTATGCACAGCTCATGACAGCACTACTTATATCATCAGATATGCTACAGCAGTACATGCAACAATGGATCCTCCCTTGCATTATAATGTTACCACAGAAAAACTAATGAGCACCTATTTTCAGCAGTAACTAATCATCCAGCGTGAAATGAATTTCTTGAAAATAAAGTGATAGAAGCAACTGAGAACTGTGAATGCACAATTTTCCCCACATTTATAAAGTCATACTTCTACTTGCATGGGATGCTGAAGAATGCCTCCAACTGAGTCACACTGATTATTAGAATATTTACTTTTCCAAAATAATAGCTGACATTTGTGATTATTTTAAAATTTGTGCATCAGGTACTTTGTGCACCATATTCTTATGGCAACATGATTATTTAAAATTCATTTGCGCAGTAGTGTAGTATCACAAAATATATAATTCAAAAAGTTATATTAAAATACATATATGCAACTGGATTCACTGGCCTACTTCCTAAGCTACATATGGTGAAGACCCATGCCCTTCTTGACACTTACCTGTGCTTTGCTCCATCATTTTCCCACATCCCTGTTTTGACTGTTTTATATAGGATTGAGGCTGAAACATATCTTCGGTAGTTTTTCCTGTTGTAAGTTTAATTAAGAATGGGAAAATGTCTTACCCATAGTCCATTATGTTTTTTCCTAGACCAGTAAATAATACAGCTATTTTTAAGCAGCTTTAACACAGAAGTGTACTCTAATATATGTACTCTCTCATAAAACCATTCCATGATTCTATCCTCTTACTACTTCACAGGAGTGTTTACTACAGCCTTGCAAAATCGTAAGTTTACTAATGCAGTTGCAAACTCTACTTTGTCCACCCTAACCATAATGACAGATAATAAACTAAATTGTATTTAACTTGTCTGTCACAAAAACATTACTCAATTCAGAAAAAACAGTAAGTAGGATTTTGCAAGATTGTTTTACTATAATCTCTGATTTATAAAAACAATACTTTACTTAGTAGCAGTTCAGTGTCTAAGCACCATTTAGGATGAGATTAAAGTCACAGAAACAAACTTTATACAATTTAGTGTCAAGACATTTAGTCCCTTCTTTTTCCCCAGCCTTCCTCACATTCTTATTCACTACGTTCACTGTCATGATTAGATGAAAACAGGCTGTGATTCTTCCTGATTTTTCTGCATTGATGCCCTTCCAATGATGGTTTGTCCATGGAAAGATGCTTAATTTCTGTACTGCAATAAACCATTTATCTCCCAAGATCAAACCAATCAAATCAATCCAAAAGGTACTGTAAATGTACCAAGCAGAAGTAATCTTCATGAAGGAGCACTGGATGTTCAAGTGCTGCCTTACATCAGGAATTTTTCTCAGAAATGTATAAAACATGTTCCAATAATATCTATATTAACAATTAAATACTAAGTTTTATTATCAAAAATAAAAAGCACTCAACAGCTGTTCAAGAATATAATTTCAACGGTTTGATTAAATAATTTCTGCTAAGTTAATCCTAAAACTATTTGCCCTGAACTACATAGCACATCTGTGTATTTTAGGCATAACAGACAAGTTACAAAAACCAGTTTCACTGAAGTCATATATTGGTATGTCCTCTCTATCTTAACTATAAAGAAATTTAGAATCAATTTTGTGAAACATGAACACTTTAGTTGGTCAGCTCAGCTTCTAGTCAGACTTGCAATTAATTTCCAGTAACTTAAATGATTCCAAAGATGACAAAGATAGCACTTGAGAAATCTGAAGTATGGTAATGATTTACTGTTTTTTTTTTCATAAAAAAGAAAAAAGGAGGTTAAGTTTGTGTATTTGATAGCATGATTTCTGCAACATAACCAACTGCTGAGCAGCAGCTTATCACTGTATCAATACAAAAAGTAACAAAACAAGTCAGCCTCAATGATGTGAGGATCTGACACCTTTTGCATCGTTATGCCTGTCTCTTTGGAAGTGAGAATTTCCTTGGTATTCATAAGCATCTTCCCACAAAGGGAGAAACACCTCTCAAATTTCTTACTGGGCTACATGCAATATTATTAATTTACCTCATTCACACATGAATTCTCAATACAGCTAGATGTTTGAAACATAGCTGTGAATACAGTGTTTCATTTTAAACACTTCTTCTGAGTTAAAAAAACTTTTAAGGCTTACTTATCAAAAAACATTGACTTTACAAAACAGATTTATATTTCAAGAAATGTAACAAAAAGTATAATACAGGGCTAGAAACTGTATTTCAGATACTGATCACAGTTTTTTGTTTGGATAGCAATACCCAACATTTTTAAAAGGCTAGTCCCACAGATACAAAAGTCAATAGATAAATCTCGTGATTTACAAATAAAGTGATGGTCAGAGTTGCTTCCTATTTCGAGCCCTGCATAACAAATTATGATGACAGCATGACTTTCATGTTGTGAATGTTAAGTATAAACAGGGGTAGAAATTAACCTGTTTTCTCCCTCTGTCATCTAATAAGATACTGGAGACAGTTCCTGGTTTGTGTTTTGTTTTTTTTTTAATTTACATACCAGACTTTAACTCTTCCGGTGAAACTGGCATGTTTCCAGCTAAGAAAGGGTTCTGAAGTCTTCTATATTGAAGTGTGAACTAGTAAACTAATGCCTTTTATAATTTCAGTTTCTGAATAATAGAAGTATAATCCACGCTCAAACCAAAAAATTTTAATTAATCCAACACCTGGTTGGAAGAAGTTATAACTAATCCAACTATTTATCAGGTAACTTGATTAACTGTCATTAATTTCAACCCCTGAGAACTGGTGAACAGGAAAGCAGTCAGGAGCAGCAAAGTAAAAGAGTAAGTAATTTAGGAAAACATTGAAAGAGAGATAGAATTAAGGGTGTGAAAGATGTGGGATTTATGATTTTAAGGTGCAATGTTTTCCACTTACTCTTCACCCCCTTTTTCCCCTTGCGCTCCTTTTTGTATTGTTCCTTGAGTTTGGTTATTACTCCCTGGTCGACATTCCAAGCTTCAGGCATGAGACACTGGTCTTCCTTTTCTAAACAAAGTGAAACAAATGAAACATCCTTTTTCAATAATGTCACCAAGTGATCTTCACTGGAGGAGGTAACAGCTGCTGTCAATGGCATTTGTCTTTTATTTTAAACAGACAGAAATAGCACCAAGCTTGTGAAAGCTGTAAAACTGCTACTCACATTCCACTTCTATTTGCTCAGAATTTTCTTAACAAAAAATTGAAATGAAATTTCACATGCCTACTTTCTATAACCAAGCACACAGCTGTTCATAAATGTAAGCAACATTTACTTCATAATAAATCAGGACATATTTTTCAGCTTTTTCTTTCCTCCAGGGAGAGAATGATTATATTTAGAAGCAGCAGTTATATGTTACTGGTCAACATAACTTTACAACTCAGATGCTGCATCACCACATCTCAAATTCTCAATTCATTGTTTCTGTGCTATGTTGTCATTTACACAAAGCAGTAGCACATTTAAATCATTCTGGAACATCATATACATGTTGCCAAGGTTTGAATAAAATCAAAAAGCCACGTAATTTCACAAAAAGGAGAAGGCCTGAGCTATTCGTCTTTGAAAAAATACACAAAACATTTCAGGATGCCTAATGAAATAAATCCCCACTTTTTTTTTTTTTTAAAACATCTTTCTCAATTTGCTTCCTCTGTGACATGATACAGAGAAGTAGTATTCTTCCAATAGTACAGTATTTGGAGATCTTGAACAAAACGTGTTAACGTGAGTTCAAATCTCCAAGTCATTTTTTCCCCTATATGGAAAGACGGTACTGAGGCAGCTTAGAAAAATAATTTGCAAGCAGGGAGGTAATATAGCTTTTCCTCACATGTAATTATTTCCATGACCATTACAGCTACAAAGTTTTTTTGAATGCATTATCTTTTTGCTTTGTTTTCCTCATTAAATTCTCAACTTATTTTTTAAAAATTAATTCCTTTCAGACCAAGTTTGCTCTGTACATCAATAAACTATTCTAGACTTTTTAAAATACAAACAATAATAAACTTATTCTCAGACTAATAAGCAAGAAAGGGTGTTAAATGTCTGTAGACACTATCAATTACAATCTGAAGGAGTCACTATGATTGGATAGAAGACACTAAACCAGACATGGGTTATTATGGGGACTGACTTGTTAGAAATTTATTATGCTGAAAGAAACGTAGGGATCCTCCATCAACATCAAATTGAACGGGAATCAGTGGATACTCTTGCAGCAAAGGTGAACAACCGTATACTGGGCTGAATTAACAAAAACGTAGCCAGTAAAGCAAGGGAAGTGATTATTCCCCTCTGGCACTTGTGAGACCACACCTTGAGTACTTCATCCTGTATAATATTTCTTATACTGGGAAACCTTGTAAGCATAAAGCTAAGTACCTAGTATTGACATAGCACAGCAAGACCAAGGGAGCCACTAGGATGGTTAAGGCAGCTGGAGTAGAGAAGCTACAAGGAGGGACTGAGACTACTGTGAGCGTTCAATGATGGCAAAAGAGGCATCTTAGTGGTGCCTTCAATTACCTAATGGTCAAGTGTAGACAAGACAGAGACAGACTCAGACTTGCAACCCAGAACAACAAATTCAAATACCAGAATACTGTCCCTGAGAGTTTATGGGAATGCCTTTCTTGGAAGATACTTAAAACTTGACCAGAAGACCAGAGTAACCTGCTGCAAATGGAACTGAGCAGGAGTTTGGACTGGATGATCTTTCACTCCTTTGAACCCTCCAGTCACAATCCTACACTCATGAGTAACAGATTAATTCAAGACTTTAAGTCTTGGGGCATTAGTCTTTTTACAGCAGCCATGAAAATAGAGAGGTATTAATAAGCTGAAGAGAGACTAAAAAAGATGGTCTGTGGGCTAAATCACGTCCTCTTAATACACATGCCAAATTAAGCACCACTAATGATCAAAAATTGCATGAAGAACTCAAAAAAAAGGCATGAGAAAACCACGCTTGAGAGAAGCAAGTGTGTATTCTTTCCGGAACCAGGTTATGAGTTTTAATCATGATTTTCCTCCCTGGCTAAACAAAATTTTTTGCTCTCCTCCAACAAGAAGTTAAAGGGATTTATATTAGATTGTATTGTTGCCACAAAAACCCTTACTAAATTGATTTTCTACTGACCATCCCAGGATGCTTCCTGCATGTCTCACAGGTTCTGTTCAACTTTACAAGTGGATCCTGAATTACTACTGTTCAAGTGCTTCATAGTTTAAAAGTCACCTGAACATTCTAAGGACCTTTCAAGCCAAAGGGGTTCAACAGATTACTGTAACTGATCAGGAATGCTTGGGATCCAAAATTATGCAAGGACTTCCTCTGTTTGCTTCTATCCTTGCTACACAATATCACTCTTCTAAGCTACGTTTAGCAGCTTCACTGAAATTAACATAAGTGATGCATAATAACAGTTTCTTAAAGAAGCTTATTCTTATATACATTTACCATAAGAGACACACGTTGCGAAACAAATAATTGAAAAAATTAATGTCTATAACTCAAAAAAACCCTTAGTATTTCTAGAAATGAAACTACTGCTTTCCATGACAATTTATTTTTTATGTTAGGCTTTTGCTCATTTGTACTCAGCTGCCATCAATGAAAGTAAAATTAAACCAGAAGGGTGAATTCGAGAGCAAAAAACAAAGAGAAGTATCAAAACAACCCCATAAAAATATTTTTCGTTAAAAAGAGTAATTCGCAGACTTGTTTGGTGAACAGAATACTGACTGCTGTATCTAACAATATTGAGACACATGCTCTTAAGCAGAAAGACTACACCACACTGAAGAATAATTTGGAGTCCAACCAGGAGTTAGACATGGCTTCAGTGAAATACAGCATCTCGGAGCTGTTATCTCATGCGAGAGCCACAGCTACCACAGCCTATTTGTCTGTCAAGGTTTCAGTTCCATTATAGAGCTCAATTATTTCCCATTCACCTTCCATTGCTCTCTCTGTGCTCACTTATGCTTAAGACTTTCCAGAACAGCTTAAGGAGGAAACGACTCCCCATCAAGATATTTAACCAGTTCTCTTCCTTCTTCCCTATGCAGTGGATTTATGTGGAATAATTATTTCAAGGTAAAGTGGATGCTGGCCTGCTGGTTGCAGGACATGAACCTCAAAGGACAGAGAAAAGTTTGTGAAATGTCTTTCTAAGACCAGGGGGTTTAAAAAGATACATTCTTCCGATAAATCGTAAAAGAAAATTGGAGCAACTGAATGGTTCATATTGCCCAAATTGCTAACACACAATAAGAGTACAACTAATCCAGTCTTTATGACTCACGTTACTCTCTGTATCAAAGTGAGAGAAAGCAAAGACAACGAAGTAACTTTCATGTCATAATTGTAAAATACAGCTTTACATATTGAAATTCCTCTCATAAAATTTGAATTTTATGCGTCTTATTATCAAAGAAAAGGAAAAAAACAATGACCAGAAGCACAAACTTTGAAGAAACCTTACATTAAAGCAGCATACAAAAAAATGAGAATATTATGTCAGGAGGACTTCAGTCTGCCAATTATTTACTGTAGGAATACTCAAAAGGTGGTGTGATCACGACAAGAGATCTCAATCAATCACTCACAATATATTCTTCGTGCATGTTCTTTTCTCCTAGCACAGTTCATTAAATTTCCTTACCCCAGTCTGTTCCATCTCCTGAGCTTCTCGATTCCCCATCACCTTCATCTGAGGTAACCAAAAAGTCAAACTCCTTCAAAGCTTCTTCTGTATCTCTGTCTTCACTGCTGTCAGATAGCACTCTTTTCCTTACAATCTGAACGGTCAGGAAACAGCGACAAAAGCTGAATTAATTTACACACACATCTTTATACTGAGCAGTACTGCCCTGTCTTCTATGCAAATCTGATGCCATGATACATGAAATTTGTAGCATAAATTTTACTTCTACAGAAAAAGAAAAATTACATTCATCACAATATTTTGATTTGGAACCTTGTTACGGATCAGTCTGAAAAGATGACTTCACAGAGGAGTCTCAGACAGTAGTTCACAGCCCATGGATGACAGGAACAAGTTGACAAAAATACTCTTTAAAAACTCTTTCAAAGTGATAGGTTTTTAAGTCTTCACTCTTAAAATGGATGATAGAACTAATGGCATCCATCGTAACTCTTATCTGCTTCAACTGTTAGGAAAAACAACTCACTGAATAAATATTAATTTTGAAAAAAGGAGGATAAAATTGCATACTGATTGTATGTATCTATTTTATGTGATCATATGACCAAATCATACAGCAAAGTATAGATCACAAGGAAGTTACAGGTATTTGGCTGAATAAACAAACAAAAAAGTTTATTAACTACATGGTAGAGTTTTTCCAGTTACAGTTTTTCTTCCTTCCATAAGCAATTTAAGAGAAATGTGGTATTTCAGTTCCTTACCCTACAAGGATAAATTGCTACAAGTCATTTTAAATATCAATACATCTGTATAAATATTCAAGAAACAATGCATTTTTGACATGCAACATTACAAACAATACCTTCAAACTAAGCTGAAAATTGTAAAAAAAGACACCTGCTGCCTTAAAAATTGTATCCAGTATGTATCAAAAATACTAGGCAGTATGGAATAGCAGAAATACGATTTAAAAAGTTTTAATCTGTCACTGCAAACTTAAAGCAGTAAAAATGGCAAAGCTTAATTTATATGCACAAACTCAGAAATGCATATATAATTCCTCTTATGCACACATGCTTGGACAGGCGTCATAAAGATGCATTAATGATTTGCCCGTGTACATACACAGTCATATACTTTGCATATAGGCATCTCATTAATCTCACTTTTTCTGTTCTTTGTAACTTTTTCAATTATTTTTTCCACTCACTGTTGCGGTATCAATGATTGCTTTCTCTCTTCCTTCAATATCTTCTTCATCTTCTTCATCGCTGAAGTCTGCAGCTGCATTTTCAAGAAACTTGAAGGTCTCTAGCAGAGAGGCAGAGTCAGTCAATTCAGGTTTCCTAAACAACAATGACAACCACCATCATGAGTCAACAGAAATCATAACAAAATCACTTTTGCAATTACCAGTCTGTTCTGTATTACAATGTCCAACAACACATGACACTAAAATAAGCCTACAGGTAAAAATAGACTATTACAGATAAAAATGTTTGTGATTAAAAAACTAAGCACTATCAGTAAACTATCTTATTAGAACCAACAATTGTTCCTCATCCAGCTACAATTACCAGGACGGACACTTCAATTTTTATTTGAAAAGCATTTTAAAGAAACGCTTATCTGATATATGCCCCAAAGAAACATCAATACTGATATACCATCACTGAAAGGTTTGTCAAGCATTGGAACAGGCTGGCCAGGGAAGCGACTGAGTCACCATTCCTGGAGGTATTTAAGACGTGTAGATGTGGTGCTTCGTGACATGGTTTAGCAGTGGATTCGCCAGTGTTAGGTTAATAGTTGAGCTCGATGATCTTAAAGGTCTTTTCCAACCTAAACGCTTCTATGAAAGCCTCAGTAACAAGGACATGAGTTACAACTGCTAAGTTGGCCTCCCACATCATGTACATCAGGGCACAGGAAAATTTTGCTGCTGCTATCTGATGTTCCTCATCTTGCTGAAAAACATCAAACTCTAGATCTATCATTCGTTAACTTTTGATACATAGTAAATTTGCCACAGTAAAACAATATAATGGGAAAACATCATTTGTGACTAAATAATGTTTACGTAGACCTTAACATGAAACAAATATGGAAACGGATGAAGATTGGGTAAAAATACAACTGCGCTTGCACAAATACAGGCGCAGTGCCTCAGAACAGGAAGCATAAGGGTTGTCATATTAACAATTGAAGAGGAAGAATCTAAGAAGCAGCACTGTAACCATTATTAAAACTCTGATGAAAATACAATTAAAGCAAACCTAAAAGTAAACAACAGGTAAAGTGTTTTCTATGCAGAAGATGCACTTCTCCATCAATTCCTCAAAGATAAAGCGCTGAAAAAAAAATTATTCAGTTTGAATTGTAATGATTACTTCCAGTAAAACCTTACACATTCTTTATATAACTTTACAGGAGTAAAGACAAGCTTTATTGTTTTCTTACCTTTAATCAGTAGTCTGTTTTTCATAATTCGTCACTAAATGCACGTCATCTTGATTTTCACAACCATCAAAACCATAGAAGTAGCTCTCTTTTCAGAACTGTAGCTCTAAATTGTCTTGGACAGTCACCCTTACTACCAGCAAGTACCTTACTAATGCTACATTTTGCTTCTGCTATGATCCATTTCAAAAGGTTCAATCAACTAACAAGCCTATACAGTAAGGCCTTTTAAACTCCCTGCAGCGTAAACACCTGATTATCCATCCATCATCCACTTATTTCAGTGTTTCCTCATAACACTTTTCAAAGGTTTATTACAGGAAACATCCAAGGGCAAAAGCTCTGATGTGTAATAAGGCATGATAAGCAGCACAGTTCCTTCTTTACGCTGTCTCTGCTCAAGCAGTTCTATGCTTACATGATAACAATCAGCAGGAGTGGCTTCTTCATAGCCCTAATATGTCTGCATCTCATTAAGACAATTTGCTATTCTACCCTTTTTTCATTTATTGATCTTTACAGCCCAAAAATACCAATAAAGATTTCACTCACCATTAGAAATTCAACATACACCACAGCATAACATACTATGACGTACAGAATGTCTTCACGGTCATTGGTTTTGTGGAGAATATTCCTTCCACTTTCCCACATCTTATCTTAGATAAGAAAAACCTCAAACGTGCTTCCAATTTGCCTTGCTTCCTGCAGTATTTTGACTCTCTCCATTCCATGACAAACCTGAAAGCACTCTAATATTTTTCTTTTTTCTTAAGTAATCACTACTTTGGCAGACTATAACACCTCATGAATCTGTAGCAATAGTGTACAGCTTTACAGAAATCCTATGGTACTGTTATTTTGCTGCTTCCAACACACAAATCTTGATAAGACAAAACTTGCAATGTGATTCCCTTGACTAACTTGTTGATTTTCAGCAAATTTTGTGTGTCCTGGTCAACTTTTAGTGATGAAATCATCCGACCACAATCATATTTCTGTTTTCGACTCTGTATTTTGCTGTGTAAAAACCTGCCATGTAAAATACATCACGGCTGCTGATCTATATTAGCAACTATCAGACACGTTGCAGTAAATAGCAACATATGAACTAATACCAAACATAGAATATAAAATTTTAATCAATAGAATTTGTTATTAAGAGAAAGATATCCTTCTACAGGATCTGCAGTAATTCATACCTATATTTGGTTCTGCACTCATTCGATCTTAAATCAGGCGTTCTCATACTGAAGTTCAAAGCGACCATCAAGAGAGAAGGTTATATCTTTTTTTAAGTAACTGGTCTGAATTCAACTACCGTATTATTACATACTTTAGTGGGTAGGATATATACGTAATTGTCTATCTCCATTTACACAGTGCGGTAAAAGGCATCTCATGCATTGGGAAAAACAGTAGTTTATCATGTATTTCAAAACTCCTGCACAATACAAAAATGTACAAAGTCAGCACAGCACCACAGAAGATTATTCGTGCTTAGGCACAACTTCCAAGAAAGAATTCATAAGAACCAAAAAATGAAGAACAGAAGTGACAGAATGTTTGAACGATTTAGAGGTTCTACAGGGAAAACAAGCCTCAAGCTGACAGACAGGTTGACTGGCTATATTGTACCCCAATACGCTTCAGTCAAATCAAAAGTAACTCAATAATTTAGCTGGTTTTCATTTAGCTATTTTTCCTCCTTTAGTAGCACCTAAACATAATGTGGTTTAGATATTACTGTCAGCATGAACACTCAGGAATACTGTACCATATATTTAAGAAAATCTCTAGCCTTAGCTAATTTATGTTATGTCCTTTGATGGCAATTTGAAGCTTGCTTGTTTCATTATTTTCCATCTGTTTAGTTTGTTTCTCTTTTGGGGTCATTCACAAAGCAACATAAAAGAGTAGAAGTGGCAAAAATATATTCAAAGGTAGGGTAGTATAATAAATTACTTTAAATTCCATTTCAGAAAAAGAAACACAACGCAATGTTTCCAGGGCTTTGGTCATTTAGAATACTTTTTAAAAAAATAATGGGTGAAAACAATAGAATGGAGCTCCAAAGGCAAGGACTGATGCATGAACTGTAGTATTACAGCCATCAGTGAGACAAGACTATAGCAAGGTTCAGGACCTGTTGCAAATAAAGGGAGACCAGAAAAAACAAAAAGGTTTGTAAGGGAGAACAGCATTTCCAAATTGCAAGAACTTAGGTGTTGCTTTTTCATTCTTCCCCAGTAATAATGTCTAAAGAAAAACTACCGGGAAAGAACAGGCCAGAAACCCCAGACAGCAGGAGCAGCTGCAGAAGCTGCCAAGGTAGAGAACATAGAGCAACTAGATTTTGGCAGGACTTCCTTGACCCTATGCTCTTCAGCTGCTCGTTCTGAATCTGCTTCCCACTGCTCCTTCCTCAATTGTACTCTGCAACAGCACCCTTGCATGGTTTTCTCCCCAGCACCTAACCTTGTCTTCTTTCCTTGAGGGTTTCACGCCAGTTGACTTATCACTTCTTAACCACATCTAAAAAATTAAATAAAATTTTAAAAAAATCATTTAACCAATATAACATCTTCTATCAGATACTGTTAACTCTGTACATTATATCCTCCTCTCCAGTAGTCCTACCCAATAAAACCAGGAAAAAGTCTTTGGAGCAGAGAGACTACCTGCTACTCGTGTGCGCACATGATTAAGTACAACAGAACTAATAGTTTGTCACAAGCACAATGAGTAGTGCCAGAAAGTAAAGTAGAGCTACACTAATGCTGCTGGGTTTTCCATCTCACTACTAACGAACGGGAAGCATGCAGTTTTTGTGAATATTGCTCTTGAAACAGGGAACTGTCCCCAAAGACAAGACCCTTTTTCCTGTTTAAAGCACAAAATACTTGCTACAAATGGGCTGGTAACTGAAGTACTTACCTCCCTTAAAGCAACATAAACCTGAAATCACATGAATATTTTTCTCCTCAGAAGTTGCTAGAATTTTCTGCAGCTGTGACTGTCCTGAAAATCTCATCCCACCTTGTATTTTACAGGCTGTTAAATTATTCAGATTTGTCTTAACCTCTTGGCCCTTTTAAGATTAAAAATAATAATAATCTCTTCCTATAAAATCTAAGAAATACGGTTTGTGATATTCCACACATACTATTTAAAGCAAGCATGGCTCTCGCTGCGCCTCAGTGGGCCATACAGTCAACTTGTCATCTTCTGCCCTATAGTCACATGGCTCAAGACAAGTACTCTGTGTAAAAATCCAGTTGGCCGTGACAATATTAGCCGTTTTACAAAAAGTATAGTGTTTGGCTCTCAACATTCAATATTCAGGATCTTAACATAAATCCTGTTTCTTACTGAGTGAAAAGTAGAAATCATAACCTATAGGCATATCCTACAGCAAAGGTGAAGTTATGTGAAAACTAAAACAGCACACTGATGATACCTTTCCTGCGCTTAACACAATCCAGAATGTTTCATACTGCAAAATCAAGTTTAACTCAGACTAAAGCCACATTATAGACATGTATTTTCTTTGTAACCAACACATTCAATATTTCTATCATTATCTTCTCTGTTGATAACTACTCTTGGGAGCCTGTGGTGATGTGCAGGGAGACTTTCAAACTTCTCTCATGAACTGCCCATCCACAAAGCCATTAACTGCCTCGGACCTTCTCACTCCCCCAAAGAAAAAAGCAGAGCGTTTTTTGTTTGTTTGTTTTATCCAAGACACAGAAGTTATCTTAACTAAAACCAGATTTTATTGATAAATTCAGAAGCAGGAAGAAATACCACAGTAAAGTCAAACAAACACAAGTTCAGCTTAGGCTGAAAAATGTTTCTGGGGGCCTGTGCAGGAAAAAGCCTG